GCTCTTTCTCTCTACAAAAACGCTCTGGGTCGCTTATCCTCAAAAACCAAAACACATGAACTGACCACTTTTGGGAAGTAACTAAAATCTGGTCAATGACTGTTTCATCCAAACTGCACATAAAATTGAAAGCAATATCCGCTGCACTTTCTGTAAAGCCATTCATAGAGATTGTTGCACCACTGAATCATGCCCCTAACTGGCAGAGCAGAGCTAAATAAATAAATACACACAAACAAACAAAACAAAACTGAGGTTGACATGAGGGTGAGTAAGTGATGACAGAATTTTCATTTTTGGGTGAAACTATACCTTTAAATGATGAGTAGCTTTCCCAATACTAGAGACATGTGCTGCATCCCAATGTGACTACTTATACTACGTCCTTAAAGTATGTACTCTTCTGGTGAAGAAAAAGTACACACTTTTGAGTATGTAGTAGAAGAGTATGCAAGCTTTGGGACATACTATCACATCATACAATTGTGTCTTTAACGGACCGCTCTTTCGCATAGTTACACGCACCCTGTCACTGTCATCTTGTCACAGTTAACCTCCTCCACATTTAATTTAATTTAACTTCCTACCGTACTGTAGAGAAAAGAAGTAGCACGGTGATCTGCCAGCCGTGGGTCTTCATGAGGAGAACTCTGCTCATATTTTTTGCATAATGATGCATTTAAAAGTTGATGGCCAAACGGATGTTTATAAAAGTTAATGAAATATAACACAGATAAATTATTATCATTATTATTATAATTTTTTTTACCAGGTTAAATGTTGATTATTAGTAACTCAAACCCATTTATCTAAACCTCTCTACTTAACCGTTGGTCGAGCACATCCGCCATGTTTGTAGTTTTTTAAAACACTTCTTATTCAATGTTTGTAGTTCTGAACTGAATCCTTCGTCAAAGCTCAATGGATTGTGGGCAATATTAGCCATTAGAATGTGAACGGATCCACACTTCGAAAATCTACCTGAAATAGTAGACCATCCGGGGGCTTCTGGCATAATCTTTTCAACATACTATGCTTTGGGACACACTTATTCTAATCTTACATACTATTTAAGAATGGATACTATGAACATTGGGTTGCAGGAATGCACATTTCATTCCCATTCACAGTCAGCTATGGCTACTTTCTTTGTTCACAACAAATACACACACACACACACACACACACACACACACAAGACAGAATTATGACTTGTGTGACATTTATCACAATGAGGGATTTGAAGGAAAAAAAGAATGTTAAATAGTCTGCCTCATCATTCTGTATGGAAGGACAGACCCACCAAAGAATTAAATAATTAAAAAAAAAAAAAAAAAAACCTTGAGAAAAACCAAAGTGACATGCAGTACAACCATTAAAAAGCACATTCCCCCAGGAAAGTTGAGGTTTAAATGCTTTGCTGAAAGAAGGCACAGTGATGGATCATCCCTTGTGAGGAATGAACTTTTTGTTAATGTCTCTGATACTTAACCACTAAGCTACACCTTCCAAAGAAGCCAAAAAATAATAGTTGTCATGGTTATGTTTACAAAAATATATTTATACCTACAACATTGTTACATTTGAGTGATATAATAGGATATAATAGTTCATTTCAGAGTCTGTGGTTTCTATGGGCCAGAGATTATTGTTTTGTACAGAGTATAGATTGGAATTATGCCCCTTTTCTTGCCTGGATCTATTAATTTAATCAAAAATACATTAAAATACAATTAATGCATACAGTGACTTTGAATACATGGCGGCTTTGATGAGCGTGATTTTATTTTCTAAATAAAAAAAAAAGTTATACAACTGTCTAGATATCATAATGAAGCGAGAAAGAGCCTCATTAAAATGATAATAATATTATTATTTTTAGGCCTGGTAATTTAATGTGTTAATTAGGTAAGTAAGAAGTTAATATTGTGTTATTTTAGACACAATGTTGTCGGCTTTGCTGAATTTTGCCAATGAAAATATGAAGACAAAGCAGAACTGTTTGTCTCCGAGCAACACACAGCGGCATTTCATTTCTTAAAGGTGGGGTAAGCTATTTTTCAAAAGTGCTTTAGAAAACTGATTCGGGCCGACTAGCAAAATGTTTTGCTATTCGGCCCGAATCAGTTTTCTAAAGTGTTTTTGAAAAATCACATACCCTGCCTTTAAGTGACATACATTTTGTCATACATTTTGTCTTACAAACTGACATACATTTTTGTTATTATTTCTTAGGGGGAAAAAATACTGATTTACTGCTAATATTTACTGCTTTTAATATTTGATACTCCCAAATCAAAGTGGTTTGACCAACATGCAAAAACATGCAGAAGAAGAAAAAAAAATGATGTGATAGGGAGGACCCATGCAGACTCTCATGACTGTATTTTAAAGTATTTTAAAATACCATAATTTGACCTTTTTCAAGATAAGGTTGTTAAATGTCCTGCAGTGACATTTCACACACACACACACACACACACGTTTGTTTGGATATTTTAGTGAGGACATTGCATAGACTTCCAATGCTTTTCTATCAGTTTAATGATATTTTCTATCAGCTAACCCAAAACCCTACCCCTACACTTACCCATCACAGAAACATGTGCAGAACATTAGATCTACATCAAAATGGTAGAAATGTCCATTATGTGGTCATTCAATCCAAACTCTCGTGACCCACGTAGTCATGAACCATATGGTTTATTAATGTCTGCCACTTTAGTTGAGGAAAGACCCACCTGAGAGGCACTATACAGGTCAAACAATTGTTTAAGCAAGATAATGGAAAGTCTAAAGATACAAATCTGTGCATGGTATAGTCCCTTTCACAGTCACAATGGAAAGAAATCAGCTTCACAGGCCTAAGACCACACATAGCACACACGCCATAAAGAGGTTTCATGAGCCTGTCATGTGTTACAATAGCAGAGACTCGAACACATGCTAACTCTACAAAGAGGTATTGTAGTTCCCAGTTCTTACACCATTACTGCCTAAATCACACAGACACACACACTTACACAAAACCACAAAATCCTCTCATTTTGTCTTGCCTTTTCGGCAGACAAACCACAGAGTGTTCATTTTTGAGCAGGTTCATGACTCCGCTGATTCAGGCAGCCCATACTTTGTAATTCTGTATAGCCAGCATGTGTTGCAGATGTTGTTAAACAAGGACAAATCAGCTGGGTAAATAAAGTGCTCTGACCTCATGCTTGCTAGTACACCTGGCCATCCGAGTAAGGCCATTCAAACAATTAGAAAGAGACAGAGAATTTGGGACAATGAGAGACAGCAACAAATGTATGCAAAGTTGCTGAGAATCAGATACAACTACATTTTTACATTTTCTCAAGAATATGAGTGGTTTTTCTTTGCTAAATTTACTGCCACAATTCTAGGGTGTTGTGGGTGGTTGACAGGGGTTTGCTAAGATATTCTGAGTGGTTTTCAGAGTATTGCTATATTATCAAAAGTCAAAGTGCAATTTAGGGGGTATTTCTAACCTATATATATTTCTATATTTTTGATTAAATCCAAGAGCTTTCTAACCTGCATAGACCGCTATGCAACTGACACATTCAAGGCCCGTTAAAATAGTCCATGTGACATCAGTGGTTCAACCTTAATTTTATGAAGCTACAAGAATACTTTTGTGTGCAAAGAAAACAAAAATAACAACTTCTCTTCCTTGTCAGTCTCCACCACAAATAAATAAATAAATAAATAAATAAATAAATAAATAAAAAGGTAAAGTATATGTGGTTGATCTCCCAGGGTATCTTTGATATTCAAGTCCCTAGATATGGCTTAATGGTGTCATATGATGTTGCTAAAAAGAACATTATTTTGTGCATTTGGTGTAATGAAATGTATGCGGTTTAAGGTTAAAAAAACACATTATTTTCCACATACTGTACATTATTGTTTCTCCTCTATGCCCCACCTTTCTGAAACGCGTCAATTTTTACAAAGCTCA